TTTTTAAAAAAATAATACTGTTAAGGAAATGCTTGTTTTATTCCAGAAATTAAAAGTAAAATAAATAAAATTTTAAAAAGAATAATTACCTATTAAAGTTGTTAGCTTTGCAAAAAATAAAACATGCAACTCAAATGCTACTTTCTATATGAAACCTTTCCTGCTCTCTCCAGCTGCTAATGCCCTCTCTGCTTAATTATCTGGTATCGAACTACTTTGTATTTATTCTGTATCCTTCACATTTTTCATGAGTTATCTAAACATTATACAGATATATACAGTATATCCACATTTGATTTTACTGTGTACACCTTTACTACTTATTTATTTATTTTTAGGCAATCAGGACCTGCCAGGGTCACACAGCAATGTCTGAGATCAGATTTGAACTCAGGTTCTCCTGACTCCAGGGTCAGTGCTCTATCCACTGCATCACCTAGCTTTCCCCCTTTGTATTTATTCTGGTATGCATTCTTGTGGATATACTTAGATATACAATTATTTCCTCTATTAGAATAAAAGATCCTTGAGGAGAGAAATTCTTTCATTCTTTATATTTGTCCCTCTGAAGCCTAATACTTAAATGGGACTTAATAAATATTGGTGGATTGATATTATTAGGGCAAGGGATGGGGAAAAGCTGGAATTGGAGGAGATTGGATAAAGAAGCTATAGGGAAGCTCTGTCAAATCAGTTGAATTCAGGGGCAGCTAGGTGGCGCAGTGGATAGAGCACCAGCCCTGAATTCAGGAGGACCTGAGTTCAAATCCGGCCTCAGACACATAACACTGACTAGCTGTGTGACCCTGGGCAAGTCACTTAACCCCATTGCCTAGCCCTCCCCCAAAAAAATTAATTGAATTCAGTAAACATTTGTTGTGCACAGAGCACTGGGCTGTTTCTTAGGGAAATATAATGTTTAAATAAGGTATAATCCCTGGACACAGAGAGCCATAATACACAATATTATGTGATAAATGCTTTTAGAAAGATGCAGTGTGTATTATGCAGCAGTAAGTGGGGAGGAAGGGCTTCATGGAGTAGAGTGGGCTTTATATTATGAACAGTGATTTAGCAGGTTTAAAAAGATAAGGAAGATGTTCTAGGCCAGGGGTGGAGAATCTGTGGCCTTGAGGCCACATGTGGCCCTCTAGGTCCTCAAGTGCAGCCCTTTGACTAAATCTGACTTTTGAAGTTGAAGGTAAAGAAGGCCACATGTGGCCTCAAGGCTGCTGGTTCTCCATGCCTGTTCTAGGCATTAGAGGCAGATTGGACATGGTGAGGGGAAGTCAAACTGGTGGTCATGAACTACTTCTCTTCAAGGTCCAGCCAGCTAGAGTTATACCTTCCATATGGAACCTTCCCAGTCTACAGAGAAGTTGTTTTCCTTTAAACTTACTGCTTGGGCCACTTTTGCACAATCATATAGCAACCTGCATCAAAAACTCTTTTGGTCTGTTAAGTATAATCTTGTATCTTTCATATCCTCTCATCTTGTTATTTCAAAGAATCTTGGAACCTCAGAGCTAAAAGGGACTGTGGAGACTCCTCTGGTCCAATAACTTAATTAAAATTGTTTTTTTCCCCGGTTAATTGGCATTTATTTTCTCTCACTTCCACCCTCTCATTGGGAGAAAGCAAAACAAATTCCTGTATTAGTTCTGTCCAAAAACATATGTCTTCTTTCTGCATCTTGAATCTATCACCTCTGTCAGAAGGTGGATAGCCTGCTTCCTCATCCATCCTTTGGAATCATTGGTCATTGCATGGTTCAGAGTTCCAAAGTCTTTCACATTTGTTTGTACTTACAATTTTTTCCCTAAATTACTCTTCTGATTCTGCTCATTTCACTCTGCATCAGTTCAGAATCACTTCATTATGCAGAAGAGAGAACCAAGACTCAGAGGAAAGGAAGAGACTTATTTCAAGGTCATACAGCTAGCCAGGGGCAGATCTGGGACAAGATTCCATGTCTCTTTATTCCTAATGAAGTACTTTTTCAGTTACTCAGAGTGCCTAGAGAAAGCTAAGGAGAGGTAACAAAAAGACTTCGAAGATTGTTTGAAATGTTTGTATTTGTAAGATCAGGTTCACTGGGGAAACCAGAGGAAGACTGAGCTTACATTTATATAGCAGTTACTATGTGCTAGGCACCATGCTAACTGCTTTACAAATACAAATAAATGCTGTGAGGATCTCATTTGATCCTCACAACATCCCTGGGAGGTAGGTGCTAGTATTATCTACATTTTACAGTTGAGGAAACTGAGGCAAAGAAATATTAAGTGTTTTTTTTTCCAGGGTCACAAAGTATTTGAGGCTGGATTTGAACTTAGGTTTTTCTGACTCCAGGCCTAGTGCTCTAGGCACTGTGCCATCCAGCTGGGACCCAGTTGTTGGAAAAGCTTCATCAAGGAAGAAATACTAGAATTGCTACCTTCCCTGGCTTTCAAATGGTCCTAATTGCTACAAGTCCGAGTAGATAAGGTTTGTCCTTGGAACAGTTGTGTTTCTCTGGGGTTGGGAAGCACAGGCTCTCTGGTACGGCTACTTTGCTTGGTCTGTGAACTTCTTTTTCTTTTACTAAGAAAAAAAAATAAGTGTAAATGTCCTTTTCCGTGCCTCTTCTGCTACCTCTCCCACCACCCTGTGGAAATTCAGAACTTTCAAAAGCTGTTCTGCTGCTTCAGCGGTTCTGTTTCCTCCCGTGGTCAGCAAGATTGAAGAGGTCCATGGAATGGAGTCCGCAGAGTGGGGTCAGAGCCCCATCAGGGAGTCACTAACCATTCTGTCTCCTAGCCTGACGACCTTCATTTTGCAGGTGGGGAAACTGAGGCTCAGAGAGACGTGATTTGTCTTAGGGCAGCTTTCAAAGCGACAGGTTCCTTCCAGTTACCAGGCTCATCTTTCTCACCAAGACCTTGACTGTGGAATTTTCTTCTCTCCCTGAAATCTTCCCCACTTTCCCCTGCCTTCACCCTGTATTTTTATCATAGCTTTAGAGCTAGCAGGGACCCCAGGGGTTATCTAGTCCAGCCCTCTCATTTAAGACATGAGAAAATGAAGCACCAAAAGATTCAGTAATTTGCCTGAGGTCACCCAGGTGGTAGGTGGCAGAGGAGAGATTCGAAGCCAGGTCCTCAGGCTCCGAAACCCAGTGTTCCTTCTGCTGGATCACCTGAAGCCTGCACTGAAATACTCCATTTTCCACCCCTCTGGGGAGGAAGCATTTCTGCTTCTGTCCTTGTCTCCAGTTTGAAGAAAGCAGAAGTTTAATAGACAAATTAAGAAGGGGAAGGAAAAACAAACGAAGTAGGCTGGACCTGCCCACTTCTTTCGGGCAGCTGATCTTCCTGTTTCACAAGCCTTGGAGGAGCCACGGCCCCTGAGGAGATAACTCAGCTCTTCCCTGTGTAGAGGCCAAGGTGGAGATGCAAGAGAGGGAGCAGGTAGAGATGACCTTTGGTTCCAGTTCAGAACCTTCTCTGGCTCCTGTAGCTCTTCCAGTCTGACCCCTGATTCTGTGCTCTCTCTCTCATTATTTTCCCTTCCCTGATGTCCTGAAGCTCTTGTTCTCTGGGCCAGGGGTGGGAACCCGCAGCCTCGAGGGCACATGTGGCCCCCTAGGTCCTCAAGTGCAGCCCTTTGACTGAATCCAACTTGAAGTTTGGAAGACTTGAAGACACGAGGCCTGGAGGCCAAAAGTTCTCCACCCCTGCTCAGGACCACCCACTTTGGCACTTTTTATCTTCCACTCAGCATCATTGTCTTAGAGCTTAGAAGGGATCCCAGGGGCCATGGAGCCTAACCCAAACACAAATGAGACTGGCTCTCATCACCAGACCTGACAAGGGGCCACACTTTCTCTGCTTTTGGATACTTCTAGGTAGTTACCCCTCCCTCCCTCCATAAATCCAGTCTAAATCTGCTCCCTGCAACTTTACGCATTCTTCCCAGTTTTGCCTCCGAGGGCCAAGCACTGAAGGTTTAGTCTCCAGGAAGCCAGGCATGGGGGGCGGTATCCAGAAGCACAGGTTTTTGTTATTCCTTTTCTCCAGAGGGAAATATATCTCTATCTATATCTATATATATATCTCTATCTATATATATCTCAGGGGAAGTTTCTTCTACCCATCCACCCCTTTTGCCTCCACACATACAATTTGGCTGATCCTTAATTTCACACATATTCCTCTGGCTTCTGGGGAGCCTGGTACTTCTGAAGGGTCCGGTAGGCCATAAGTAAATGGATGTGGGGTGGGTTAGAGGGAACAATTTCTTGTCTGCCTACCCTAGGCCTGGCACCTTCGTTCACAAGGCTGTTGTCTCTCACTGGCTCTAATTTGAAGAGACTAGGGTAAAGTACCAGGGAGTTGTACTAGGGCTGGACTTTTGGAGCTGCAAACCGTGTGCCAGCCCCTGGTACATCTGAGACGTGCATGGACGTACTTCCCTGCCTGAGTGACCTCGCACTGCCTGACATCCTGCTGTTTTTCTAAGGTAGAGGGAAGGAAACATTTCAGAGTCCATCTGTGAGTGAACAAACATAGAGGCAGTGGAGATGACACAACTGAAATCTTAAAAAGGAAGCCGGAGTATGGAGGTGAGACCTCTTCTCAATCTTCCTGGCTGATGTGCTGAATCTGAGCTTGGGGTAACTTATGTCTGTGAAATTGGATATGTGGGTACATGGCTTGAAATGGTGACTAACGTTTGAATTCACTGACTTTCTTGGATGGCCTGTACGACCGCAGATTAACTCATTGTCCAGGCTCTTGTACTTTGGAGAGGGTGCTGGTTTTCGATACAGAAGACCTGGGTTTGAATCCTGGCTTTGCCATTTACTATCATGACGAATCTGGGCAGGTCATTTCATCTCAGAATAGATGACCTCTGAGGTCCCCGCTATCTCTAAATCTGGGATCCTGGAATCCCTTTTTGGAAGTGGGAGCTAGGTGCCAACTGGGGCAAAACACTTTCATTAAAATCTTTCTTTTCAGTTTACAACTTGGTGGTTCTCTTGTTCTGGCACAACCGCCACATTCTCCCCTTATCCTCCCTCCCTGAGGTGCTGAAGCTTTGACTCTCTGGACCCATCCACTTTGGCACGGAATCACATTTGGCCTTGTATTGGGTTCACAACATCAGAGTTTCAGAGCATGGAAATTATCCCAGAGGCCCATTCATCCCTAACACAAGGGAAGACAAGAATTGGAAAAGAATGGGATTCAACTGAAAATGGGAACTGAAAGGAGCTATGGGTAAGTTGTTCCTTTTTAGTGTCTGCCACAAATCAGCCCCCTAATTTCGCCTTAACTCCTATCACTGACTAATGTTATTTTGTGAAAGTAACTTCCTGTCTCAGTTTCCTCCTGTGTAAAATGAGACTTAACTCTATTGTTTCTACGATCCTTTCCAAGTCTCATAGTTTATGTGTCTGCTGTGATAGGTTGAGCCATTAGAAACAAATAGCCTTATTAATGTGAGAGATCACATGATATAGTGGCTAGGGGTTTGGCTTTGGAGTCAGAAAGTCCTGGTTTCAAGTATTGTCTCTAACACATGCTGGTTATGGGGCCCTGGACAAATCTCTTAACCTGTCAGTGCCCCAAATAACTCTTTGAAGACTGTCGAGCACAGTTGAGTTGCTGATCTCTGATAGTGGAGGGAGCTTCCACACCAGGAGTTCTTTGTACGGATGAAATCGGAGGTCTGGACATTTTATTCCCTGCCCTCCGCCCACTCCCTAACATAGATAGCTTGCACTCTTTCTAAGCGCTTTCCTATTCATTGTCTCATTTGGACCTGACAGTGGCCCAGGAATCCAGCCTGGGCTTAGCGCCGTAGATGATAAAGCAGGATAATTGAGAGCTAGCTGCCCTTTCTTTCAGGCCAGCTTGACTGCAGTGGGACCCCCTTCTCAGTGGGGAGACTATGTATCTTAGTGACTAGAACTTTCTTTTTTTCTGATGCAAAGGACCCCACTTCCCTTTTCTCTGCACTAAAAAGATGAACTCCAGGGTGCATATAACCATGGGAAAGCTTACTGGGTTTTTGAATAGAGAAACCTGATTTTTCCTCCCCAGACAAGCTCTAAAAGAAAGAGCTGGTTACTATTAGGGTCCGCCAGGCTCGCGTGCTTGTGTTGCCATGGTTTCCTTTTCCATCTAAATGGGGCTCAGAACTCAGGAAAACGTATTCCCAGTTGGCTTCTTTGCTAAGAAAGCTGCTTCGTTGGTGGAGGGAGTGGTGAGGTTGAATTTGACTCAGCTCAGCAAATTTTTGAGAGCTTTCTGTGTGCCTAGCCCAGGGCTAGACATTGGTCCTAAGACGAAGACCTACTCCTTTCCCTTAAAGGGATTATAATTTTGTTGGGGAGACAAAATGAATATGTAAAGGGCCTTTTGGAGAACAAACAACATAGGACAGGATATGATTCAGAATACGTGTTGGAGGAGATCGCAGATTGAGAGTTAGAAGCCATCTAGTCTAACCTGTTCATTTCACAGATGACGAAACTTAGATCTGGAGAGATCATGGGATCATAATTGTCCATGGCCGCACAAGTGGTTTGGAGGAGTGGGTCTGCAAGCCCAGGACCTCTGATTCCAAATCCGGATCAGACAAGAGAAGCCCACCTTGGGCTAGAGGGATCAGAGAAGCACTCAGCTTTGACTTGGGCTCCAAGGTTTTGTATCAATTAAAAAGAGAGTTCCCAGAATTTTCTTGAACTCCTGGGTTTCATTGATATTCTACCCATCCTTCGAGGCCCAGCTTTAAGGTGACTGTCTTCATAAAACCTTTTCTGATCTGATCCCTGCTTTGACTTTCATAGCCTATGTACTGAGATCATAGATTCAAAGCCAGAAGAGAACTTCTACACTTTAATTTTACAGATAAGAAAACTGAGGCTCAGGAAAAATAAATGCCTTGCCCAAAGTGACACGAGTAGTGTCAGAGGAGGGATTTGAACCCAGGCTCTCTAACTCCAGAGGCAGTGCCTTTTCTACTCTAACTAATTCTTCTGCTGTATTTTGTTCTTCTTTAATCTGTATTGTAGTTAGTAGGAGTATGGGGTGTTCAGGAGGACTCAGCCCTCTGGTGTGAGGGCTGCTGAGCCATTTTCAGGGCTTCTCATCATCCACCTTTGGTGTCCAACTGTCACCCAGCTTTCACCTGTGGCTTTAAGAAGCCTAGCATATGCAGTGGCCACGCCCTGGTAAATTCTCTTGGCAGATAGGCTAAACCAGGTTGAGGGTAATAGACAGGCCAAAACCCCTCAGTGAGTAAAGGGGATGTCTACCCCAAGATGTGAAACCTTCCCAGGTGGAATGGGCAGGTAAGAACAATTTATTCCAGTGGCCATGAAGGCAGCTGAAGCCGGCTCTGTGGAGGGCTTAGAGTTTGGTCAGACGATGAAGACGCCACGGTCATCCATTGCATCCTGGACCATCTCCAGTACTGACTTTTGTCTTGCCACTGGACTTCAGTGACTTTGTAAGAGAGAGTGAGGCTGATGACTGCGCAACACTGCTTCACTTAAGTCCAGTTTGAGTAAGACAAGACATCGCTCATTTTGATATCATTCATTGGTCTCCTTCAAACGCTGAGCAATGTCATAGTTATCTATGTGAGCCACCATGATGGCAGGGATGGGCTTGGGTGTATCTTTGTGGTCTCTGTAGTACAGGCCCTCGACACTCTAGGTCTATGGCGAGAATGCTTGTTATGTCAAGTAGAATTAAGAAACTGTTCTGGGTAGCTGCCAGGCTGCTGACCATACCCTTGCTCTCCTTTTCCTTCTCCTTCTCCTGACTTTGGGCTGCAATCCTCATTCTCCAAAGGCAAAGACATGAGAATGTGGTTTTGTTCCCCCTTCACAGCTTCCCAGGTTTGGGGGGTGGGGAGAAAGGAGAATAACTGGAATAAATGACTGGAGAATAACTGATTAAAAAAGGTCCAGAGAGAGAATTACATCTGGGAACTCTTTAAAATGTTTGTTTGAAAAAGTTCTCTAATGTATGTGGCTCTTAAAAAGTTGTTAAGTTCAATTAAAAAAATTCATTAAATTCTTGCTAATGTTCTAGGCACTGTGCTAGGTGACAGGGACATAAAAACAAAGATTAAACATTCCCTGCCCTCAAGGAGCTTGCCATTATATTGTTGTTCAGTCATGTTTGACTCTTCGTGACCTTGTGGACTATAGCATGCCATTATTGTCCGTGGGATTTTCTTGGCGAAGATACTGGAGTGGTTTGCCATTTCCTTCTCCAATGGATTAAGGCAAATAGAGGTTAAGTGAGTTGACCAGGATAACACAACCAGTAAATGGCTGAGTCTGGATTTGAACTCATGTCTTCCTGACTCTGGGAAAGCTAGGTGGCACAGTGAATAGAGCACTGCACTTCAAATCCAGCCTCAGATACTTGTTAGTTATGTGACCCTGGGCAAATTACTTAACCCTGTTTGCCTCAGTTTCCTTATCTGTAAAATAGGCTAGAGAAGGAAATGTAAAACCACTCCAGTATCTGTGCCAGAAAAAAATCCCCAAAAATGGAATCATGAAGCATCAGACTGAAAATGACCGAACAACAGCAAAACTTCCGGACTTCAAACCCAGTGCTGTATCCATTGTGCCACATAGCTGCCCTACCATTCTTTTTGGTAATTGCTGTTCACTATTTTTTTTTAAATTAAACTACTAATCTACCAAGACATTTAAAGATATCCATAGCTGTTATATATTAAGATATGTTTCTCTTTTTTAAGGTTTTTTTTTTTTAGTTTTTAACATTCACTTTTATAAGATTTTGAGTTCCAAATTTTTTTTCTCCCTCTCCCCCTTCCCCCTCCCCAAGACGTGCATGCAGTTTGATATTGTCTCTATGATTCTACTGGATGATATGTGTTGTAGGCGTGTGCTGGTAAATATTTAATAACTGACCCTCTTGAGGACAAAATGTACTCAAAATACACTAAGTTTAAGTTGCATTAACGTTTTCTCCATGACTTTATTAAGACTTGACAATTAACAGAAAGTAAATCAAGCCCTGATTTGTGATGTGGTGTCCTTTTCCAAGGTGTAAATGCTCATTTTTTTTTTATTAATTTATTTTGATTTATCAACAATCACTCCCATATTCTTTTGAGTTGAAAATTTCCTCCCCTCCACCCTCCCCAAGACGTCGCACAATCTGATATCAGCTTTACATTTACTTTCCTATTAAACATATTTTCACATTGGTGAAGTTGTAAGTAAAAATTAAAACCAATAGGAGGAACCATCAGAAAGATGAAATAAAACTCAACAGAAGGTAAAAATAAGGGATAGCGATTCAACTTCCATAGCTCTTTCTTTGGATGTGGAGAGCATTTTCCATCCTGAGGCCTCTGGAGATGTCTTAGATCCTTGTAATGGGGAGAAGGGTTCAGTTTAACAATTAGTCATTGCATAACGTGGTTGTTATTGTGTACAAAGTCCTCTTGGTTCTGCTCACTTCACTCAGCATCAGACTATATAAGTCTTTCCAGATTTTTCTGAAGTCAGCCTGTTCATCATTTCTTATAGCACAATAGTATTCCATTACATTCATATACTACAGCTTGCTCAACCATTCCCCAATTGATGGGCATCCTCTCAATTTCCAATTCTTTGCCACCACATGTAAATGCTCATCTTGAAAATTTAACAATGTGTTCTCTAAAAATATATATATCCCACCTTAAAAAAAAGTGTATCCCACCTAAAAACCCCCCAAACAACAACAACAACAAAAAACGCCAATATGCTCTCTAACTGGTACAGCATATACCTAACCCTGAAAGGTTTGTTTTAAGTGTTGTGTTTTTATGGAAGTATGAGGTGGTATGTGATTAAAATGGTTTGTATCAAATGACTGGATTTCACTCAATCAATTTCTTCACTCAGCCAATTCAGTAATCCAACAAACGTTTATTAAGGGCTTACTGTGTGCCAGGCCCTGTGTGTTAAGCACTGGGGATACAATTAGCAGAAATAAAGGCAGTCCTTGTGCTTAAGAAGTTTATAGTGTAATTGGAGAGGTGGGGAATGAGAGAGAGAGAGAGAGAGCGAGAGCGCAACAGAGATACAGAGACAGAGACAGAGAGAGACTGATACCAAGGGGTATCTTGTTCATGGAGTAGAAACCTAGAAGGGCAGTTCTCTGCTGTACAGTGAGTCCAGAGTCCAGTTGTGCCCTCTCTAGAGGAAGGCATTGGGAGGAGTTTGGTACTCCACCCC